AGGCAGCGCTGTGTCACATCAGCCCATGGCTCTGTCGGGGCAGGGTGGCCAGCTGGGGGTGTTTGTATCTGCTCACCTCAGGATCTGCTGCTGGGGGATGTTTCCCTCTGGGTGAGGTTTCTGTGATGTGGCAGTGGGAGGCTGTTGGGCTGTGTCAGGCTGCCTTTTGTGTGACTAACCTCTGTGTCTGTTTGCCTATTCCCTTGGCCTGCTGCCCTTTTCTCTCTTTCAGAGGCCTGATTCTGCAGGACCTGACCTTTGTCCATCTGGGAAACCCTGATTACATCGACAGCAAAGTGAACTTTTCCAAGCGCTGGCAGCAGTTTAACATCCTGGACAGCATGAGGTGCTTCCAGCAAGTGTAAGTGCAGCARTGGGGGGGTCAGAGCTGGCTTTGGGGCACCACGGTGGGCACTGGGGTGGGGGGCTCAGGKGTGGAAGCCCCTGTGCAAGGGGAAGGGAGTCTGAAGGGAAAGGGAGATGTAAGGAGAGCTGGAAGCCACACAGCTCTAATCAGTCCCCTTCCCTCTCTAGGGTAGATAAAAGCTGTGAGGACATTTTTCTGATACTGGTTTTGAGATCCAGATAAGTTTTGCCTTCAGGTTTTGCCCTTACTGAGTCCTGTGTTCTCTGGGATTTTCTTTAATGCTGTCTTGCAGCAGAGGCAGCAGATCAAACTCCTGATTTCTGTGTGGCAGGTGCCTTTTTCCCCCAGTTCAGCAATATTTTTTCCCCTTTGCGGTGTCATTGTCATGACTTCTGGACACTGCCCACAGTGCTGGGTGTGCTTGGGGCAGGACAGGGGTGGCCCAAAGCTGGGAGAGGTCCCCACGTTTCCCCTCGCTTAACTGCAACTCCTCTGTGGCTTTCCAGACATTACGACATCAAAAGGAACGACGAAATAGTGTCATTCTTCAACGACTTCAGCGACCACCTGGCCGAGGAGGCCCTGTGGGAACTGTCCCTGAAAATCAAACCCCGCAACATCACGAGGCGGAAAACAGATCGGGAAGAGAAGACCTAAGGGGAGGGTTTGTGCGAGGAGAATCGCTCCGCAGAGGCGCCGAGGGCAGCTATGAGACTGGAGTTGAATGTTTGTACCTGTCACTGGATGACACACCCTCCCTCCCGGCTGGTGGCCATCCCTGGCGCTGGGAATGCCGGGCGCTCGCAGGCGCCGCCGCCGAGGGCAGAGATCGGCCGGAGCTCGCTGCACTCGCCCTCCTCCTCCTCCCGTCCCTCTGTGCCACGATCAGCTTGAACCCCGGGGACAGAGCTGTGTGGAAGGAGTGTCCCACGCTGGCGTGCTGCTGGTTCGCCGGCCCCTTGTTTCCATCCCAAGGCAGGGGCAGCAGGAGCTCAGCACCCACGGACTCGTCGGGCAGCAGCAGCCGTGGGAGCCAAGGGTCGGAGTGTCCCCTGCAATGCCACCTCCCAGTGTTCGTGAGGATGAAGCATCTCCCGCTGCCTGCCAGAGGAGCTCTGCTTTCAGAGAGCTGCTTGTGTTTACAGGGGTCTCGGCTCACCCCAGATCTCTGGCGCCTTCCCCRCSGGAGGAAGGCACCGCTCGTAGATAYGGAAGAGGCACTGAAAATGTGGGCAGGGACCCGCCATCTCCAGTCATCACATCCCCCTCCTCCTCTCAGATCTCGTTATTTAAGCAACGGTAAATCCCTCTGAGCCTGGAAACACGGACTGCCCAGGTACTGGGGGTCACCTGCCCGTGGCCCCGTGTCTCTTAGCGATGGTACTTAGCTTTTGCACAGGAAATGCTGTAGGATGCAGACTGTACATACCTAGTGTTTAGAACCCCCTGGGGATTTTTGATGCATGTCTGAATACCGATGAGTTTATAGGAAAAAAAAAAAAGTGCAGACCAGTCTGTATAAAATCCACAACCAGTGACAATGTTGTTCCAAGTGCTGGATAAAGGAGGCTCGGGGCCCCCGGGTGGGTGCTGGCTGCACAGCAGGGGCAGGAGCCTCGTGAAGGAGCCACCGGATCCATTTCTGGGTTGGAAAAGGGAACCAGGAAGGAGCCCTGTGCCCGGCTGAGCCACCCCGGCCTCCCACMCCACTCCTCTTTCCTCTCTTTGTTGCCAAATGTTTTTTTCCGGGGGTCCCCACTGGGCCCCTCGGTGCTGTGCTTTGTGCCCCGTGCTTTGGCAGGACCCCAGCAGGTCCCTGTCCCCTGTCAGGGCAGGGCCAGCCCAGCATGAGGCAGGGCTGTCATTTCCCACACACACAGTGTTAACCCCGATCTGTTCAGTGTGCCTTATTCAGCCCCTCTGTCCCCCCTCTGTGTCCCTCCAGAGCGTCCCCAGTGCAGCCCCAGCCAGGCCACTTCACATCCCTCCTCTCTGTCCAGTGGATCACAGCTGGATCACAGCTGTGAGCATACTCTGAAGGTTTTCAGCAGCCTTGGGAGACCCTCCTCAGCTCCCTGTCATATGGGCACAGGTTTTTCCAGAGTTCTGCTGCAGGTTTAGGGCAGCAGCTCCCGAGGAATACGGGCGTGTAGTTACACAGAGCATCCTTAACTTATTTCTCAATAGCAGCTCTGTTCCCACTAAAGCCTCTCTGTTTGTTCTGGGTGAATCAGAGCTGCACTCCTTTCCTGCTCCAGATTGCAAAGCCTTGGCCAGCTCTGCCTGACTCCCAGGGAGCCCAGGGTTGTGCCCAGCTTGATTGTTTTTCCTTAAGATTCCAGTGGCCAGGCACAGAGAGATCCCCCTGCCAGTGAGGGCATCTTCTGGGGCAGGGGAGTGTGGGGTCCCACACAGTTCATGCTGTGCAGCCCCAGAGCAGGACGAGCAGGAATTTTTCATGCTGGACACAGTGTCTGAGCTGGAACACTTAAAAAATGGTTTATTTTCGTGGCACTGAGGGTGTTGGAGTTGTGTGTTGTGTCCAGACAAGGCTTTGCTATCCCCAAAGGCTTCCCAGCCTTYCATGCAGGAGGCAGTGCCCATGTTTCCTTTGTAAATAAGATTTTTTTAGAAGCCCAGCATGGCAAAGTGATGAAAAGGCCAATGAATACACCCAAAATGTGGTGTGGGCTTCACGCTGGTGGCTCTGAGCAGCCCCTGGGTGCTGTGGCCAGGCTGTCCTGGGAGGGCTGGGAGTGGTGGTGGCCCTGGGGCTGCAGCCCGTGCCCCACACACCCCTGGGGGACAGAGCTCATGGCTGGGGCTGCAGGATGCAGCTTGTGTGACCATCCTTGTGAGTGACCGTGTTCTGGGGGAGCAGCTGGCCCATGGGTGGCACACAGGGTGATTGGGGTGACATTGGGCTGGCACCCTTGGCCCTGTGCTCTTCAGCATCCTCCATCACAGGACTGGAAGGAATACTGGGGGAGTTTGCTGACAACACTACATTTGGGCATCACGATGTTAAAAAGATACTAAGCTATTAGAGAGTGTCCAGAGGAGGCCATAAGGATGGGGAGGGGTCTGGAGGGGCTTTATGAGGAGTGGCTGAGAGCATTTGGTTTGTTCAGCCTGGAGGAGACTGAGGGGAGACCTCACTGTTTYCTTCAACACCCTCACGAGGGGCAGCAGAGGGGCAGTGCAGATCTCTTCTCTTGTGACCAGGGACAGGACCCAAGGGAAGGGCTGGAGCGAGTCAGGGGAGGTTTAGGTTGGATATCAGGAAAAGGTTCTTCCCCCAGAGGGGGTCGGGCACTGAGCAGGCTCCCCAGGGCAGTGGTCACAGCGCCTCGTCCAGTGGAATGGGGCTGAACCCCCCGAGYGTTCCTCCCCCAGCTTTTCTCCCCCTTCTCCCCTTCCTCCACTGTCATCCCCACCTGAGCAGAGTGTCTCAACCTCAGGCCAGGCTCGTGGGGCTGGAGGGACCCTCGGGGATGGTCCCCTTRCCTGGAGCAGCCTCAGGTTTGCTGACAGAGCCCCCCCTCTCCAGGAGCAGCCCCTGAGGAGCAGAAGCCCAGAAATCCCTGTGCAAGAATGGCACGAGTGTGTCCCCYGTCCTGAAGGCAGTGTCCTCAAGGCCACCACCTGTTTTTGGGGAGAGGGAAGAGTCCGAGTGCCCTCTCCACTCGGGGCAGGGAGTGGGGAGAAGCAAAGCCCCCCATCACCAGCCCCCTGCCCCGCTCCCAGGCCTCTCCCCCCCAGCAGTTCCRTTGTATTATAGATTCACCACTGACCCCCATGGTGGCATCTTCCTGCAAACATTTCAGACCTGTAACTTTTATATWAAAGACAAATAAAACACCAATAACGAACCTGCCTGATGATCCTGTTTACAGTGCATGCACAGTCTGTGGATTAAAGTGACAATCGAATCCGCCTCTGGTGCTGGTGTGGCCTCGTGTTTTCTCACGTGCCCCTCGTGGTTTTCCTCTGCCCGTGGCTCTTTTTCCCTTTATTTTTCTGCTATAAATTTATTTCCTCCCTCTGCCAAGAATGCTTTGCCTCAGTGTGACCATATCCTTGGAGGGGAAGTCTGCTCCTGTCACCTTTCTCCAGTGTCCTGGTGTCCCCCGTCTCAGGGGTTTTGGCTGCTCAGCCCCCGGCATGTGCCCAGCCCGTGCAGTGGCCGTGTGCTGGTGGCCAAGAGCCATAAATAACCCCTGCAGCAGCCGAGCTGCTCCATAGTGCTATTTCAGTCCTGGACAGGGTTCAGAATTCCTCTGGAAATAATTGTCACGGGCCAGCTCAGGAGGAGAATGCCCAGACAGTGACGAGCACGTGCCTCCTGTGCCAGGGCTGGGCTGTGGGGCAGCGTCCCATGGGCCTGGCACAGCGGGAGGGGACAGAAGGTCTGTCAGCAGCTCATTGTACCCTCAAACTGCTTGGCCAGTGGCTCCCCCAGCCCTGGGGCCAGCCCTGAGGACTCCCCCAGGTCCTGGATCCTTGGTGCCCACCTGCTTTTGGGAAAACCCTGGTTTCAGCAATAGCAGAAGAACTCACCCTAAATTTTGTGGTGGACGAAGGCCATGGCAAGGGGAGAGGCAGGTTCTTGGTGTGCAGAGAAAAAGGAAGCTTTGGCTACAACTCTGTTTTATTTCAGTCTAGAAGCAGCAAGAAGGTGTGGATACAGTGTGTGTGTTTGTGTGTATTTGTGTGTGCAGAATTACCACCGAGCTGCATCCGTGGGTTTGGATCTCCTCACATTATTAGTGACCAGTGAGAGCTCCCCACACACCTGTTACTTTTGCTCCCTCCCCAACCCCAATCCTACAAGATGCTCCCTGTGCACCAGAGTCCCCTCTGGCAGYTCCAAGGGACAGCCCACAGCAATGGGATTCAGCATCCTACAGTAGAGCTGATCCCACTCTGGATCCCACACAGCTCCCTGCCCGGAGCTGCCTCCAGCAGGACACGGCCCCGGCGCCTCCCTGCTCCGGGTTCCTCCTGCCCTCGCAGGGCACAGCAGATGGGCAAAGGCTCCAGGGCAGCTCCTCACACCCCCAGGAAGGACAGACGCCGCCCCTCGGCCCCAAGAACGCTTTGTTGTCACCCGTTTGTTTCCACACAAGGCTGTGGCACCTTCACCTTCACACGGTGTCCCTGGGGCTCGGGGTCCTTGTCACACGTACAGGGACACCAGGACGTAGATGATCCAGCTGATGGAGGCGAACAGCCCGAAGAGGAGGCTGAAGAGGACCAGTGACTGCGCTTTTCTGGATGCCACGTGTGCCTGGGCCACGTCCCCGCGGGCGAGCGCAGCCCGGGTCTGGCGAGGGGGAGAAGGGGAGGCGTTAGCGGACACCCCCAGCACTGGAGGGGCTCCGAGCCCCGTGAGCCCTTCCTTACCTCGTGGGAGTAGATRAGGGCCATGACCCCGGTCAGCAGGCAGCAGAACAGGGTCACCAGCACGGACTCCACCATGTAGTCCTTGGGCAGCTGCTGCCCGTGGCTGGCAGGGAAGGGCCCCGCGCCCGGCTGCGCGTTGTACTGCGGCACAGGGGCGGGTGGTGAGAGCGGCATCGCCCCGGCTGTGCCCCCGCCCGGGCTGTGCTGCTCAACCATCACTGGGGCACCGCACGGACCCCGCAAAGCCGGGCGGGAGAAAAGGGGTGACCCCGAGAGCAGAGCGGGGCAGGAACACATCGGGGTGGGGGATACTTACGATGTTGTAGGGCAGGGGYCCGGGAGGGAATCCCGCGGCTGGGAAGGACCGCGGTCCTGGTCCCGGCTGGTAAAAGACGGGCTGTTGCTGGGAGAAGCCGGCTGGGAACGGCGGGTAGAGGACGTGAACATTCTTGGGGTCCGGGGGCGAGTAGGGCGGCGGGGCCCCCTCGAAGGCTGAGTTGGTGATCGCCGACACCAGCACGGGCCTGTCCCTGTCCCCACGGGCCGCGGGGGGATCGCTGCGGGTGCCGGGGATGGGCAGCGCCCCGGCTGCGCCACCGCCACCGCCACCCTCCTGCTCCGCTGCCCGGGCCGTGGGGCCCTGCCCAGCTGGAGGGTCACCGTCCATCCCGCGGAGACGCCTGCGGGGACAGGGAGGTTGTGATGGTTCGGGACGCGCCCGGCGGCCACCCCAGGYTCGGGGCTGCGATGGAGCTGCCCGTGGGTCCCCCCTGTGCCGCCGCCCCGAGCCCTCAGCGCCCGCTCCCCCGCACCCACCGGCGCCCCAGTCCCGGCCCCACTCACGCCGGTGCCCGCGGGGTCCCAACCGCCGCCGCTCGGGGCTCGGCCCCGTTCCGGCCCCGCCGCGGCCCCCGAGCCCCGCGTGGCCCCGCGCGGGCGGCGGGAGAGCAGCCGGGGCCGGTTAATCATTGACCCGCTGTTTGCACGGGCCCTGCGGGCGCCGCCCCGGACCGGCCACCCAGGAGCGATCATCCCGGACCGGCCACCCCAGAGCGATCATCCCGGACCGGCCACCCCGGAGCGATCATCCCGGACCGGCCACCCCGGAGCGATCATCCCGGACCGGCCACTCCGGACCGGCCACCCCAGAGCGATCATCCCGGACCGGCCGCCCCGGACCGGCCACCCCAGAGCGATCATCCAGAACCGGCCACCCCGAACCGGCCACCACGGACCGGCCACCCCGGGTGCGGAGGGGACCGGGACCCCGGGAAAGCAAACGGGGCCCGTGGGTGTGGGGTCCAAAGCAGGGCGATCACGGAGCTTCACAGCAATTTGGTCACGTTTAAAGATACGATGTGGTTTTATCTTGGAATATTTACATGTAGAATGTGGTGTGTATTCTGGCTCTATTTATACACAAAATATATATAAAATKCTGTATATTTTAGCGACAGCTCTTAAAATTTAACACGTGTGCATATCTGTATCACACCCCACGCACATGTACACTTTGTGTACATGTCTTGTCCATACGTGTATTTATTTATATGTCCTGGTATCTCTGTGTTGTACCTTCAGGTGGTTCYTCACAGCTCCCGTGTACCGCGTGTGCATCCTGCGTGTGCATCCTGCAGCAGGGGTGAGGCACACACGGGGACAGGCGTGCGCTCACACACACACAGGTGCCTGGGTAAGACAGCCTGTGATAAGGCAGAGCTGTCACMTSTCCATCTGTCCATCCATCCATCACCCATCTGTGTGTCCATCTGTGTGTCCATCTGTCCGTGCCGCAGCTCCGGCCCGGGGCTGACACCGGACGCGCTCAGCGCGCGTGGCCACGCCCCCTCCCGAGGCTCCGCCCCCTCTGAGGCCCCGCCCCCCGCAGGCCCCGCCCCCGCTCCTCCATCCCGCCATGGCGTCCGCCGGCGGCCCGGACGCGGAGCGGCCGCACCCCAAGCCCTTCCTCATCGGCGTCAGCGGCGGCACCGCCAGCGGCAAGGTGAGCCCGCCGTGCCGGGGCCGTGCCGGGGCTCACCCCCGCCCCGGGCAGCCCGTGCGGCTCGGGACCTGCGCGGAGCCCGCCGGGGCATCGCCGGTGCCGCTTGTCCCCGGCACCGCGGGAGAGGTCGGGCCGGGCCGGGTGCCGAGGGATGGATGGGTCGGGGTCCCCTCGCCCCGCCTGAGCCGCCGTCCCGCTCAGTCCACAGTGTGCGAGAAGATCATGGAGCTGCTGGGGCAGAACGAGGTGGAGCAGCGGCAGCGCAAGGTGCTGATCCTCAGCCAGGACAGCTTCTACAAGGTGCTGACGGCCGAGCAGCAGGCCAAGGCGCTGAAGGGACAGTACAACTTCGACCACCCGGGTGAGCCCCTCACCGYCCCGGCCCCAGCAGGGTTCAGTCGGTGCTTGGAGCGCAGCTGGGGCTTCCTGGAAGCGCCTGCAGCAGAACAGAAATGTGCTTTCCGCCCCCGAAACATCCGTTTGTCCTTCCCTTGTGCCCGTTGTTACTGACGGCCCTTCTGCACGGACAGGTGCAGAGCATCCCATCCTGCTCCCTGCTCCACTCCCCGCTCCTGAGACGCTCCAGAATAAGCCACATCATTCCCCAAATCCTTTTCTGTTACTTCTTGTCCGCACACACAGCTGCTCCCCTCGCCCCGGGGACAGGCGGGACAGGGAGCTGCCCTTGGCTGCAGTCTGGTGCTGTTGGGTGGGTAATGGAAACAATGAAAGATGCCTGAGGTTTTCCAATTGACTCTTGTCTAACAGAGGAACAAAGCTGCACAAAATTAYACAATTACTAAGTGGTTTGGTAGAATTATACAGTGACCAGCTTCACCTTTGGGCTCTTAATTTCATTGTGTTTTAGTTGTCTATAAACAGCTAACTGTCTCTTCCTTATCTCTCAAACCAAACACAGCCATTGTCACTTGGGCAGGGAGTGTTGTGTTTCTACTGGTGGGAAAGAATAAGCCACAAGTTCCTTTTTTCCTGGTGAATTACTGGGCAGAGGGTTCTTCCTTTGGGTCTGGAAAAATCTGAGCAGAACATTTGATACAACAGCATCTCACAGTCCTTCTCTTTCAACTTCCCTCTCACAGATGCCTTTGATAACGATTTGATGCATTCAACCCTGAAAAGCATTGTTGAGGGCAAAACGGTTGAGGTACCAACGTACGACTTTGTGACACATTCTAGGTAGGCTGTGTTTTCGTGGGAAKCCCTGGCTGTGTGTGGGGTGTCCCCAGCCTGGGGATAGATCGCTTGGYGGTGGCACGAGCCTGTTGAGCAGCGTGCTCTGGGTGTTCTTTCCTGCAGGCTGGCAGAGACCACGGTGGTTTATCCYGCTGACGTCGTCCTCTTCGAGGGGATCCTGGTGTTCTACAATCAGGACATTCGGGACATGTTCCACCTCCGGCTCTTTGTGGACACAGACTCCGATGTCCGGCTGTCCCGCAGAGGTAAAACCCCACTGTGTCCCTGTTCCTTATCCATCCTCAGCCATGGGGCAAYGCTCAGGGCTTTTATCTTCCCCAGTTCTGCGAGATATGAAACGTGGAAGGGACCTTGAGCAGATCCTCACCCAGTACACCACGTTTGTCAAGCCTGCCTTTGAGGAGTTCTGCTTGCCGGTACAGAGCCTTTCCCTATTTCWTTTGTGGGGTCTTTTTATTTGGGAGGGTGTAGAGGAGCAGGGTTGTCTGGGAATTAGCTGCTGTAGGTGCAGCAGTGGTGGCTTTTGGTATTTGTATTTCACAAATCCCACGCTCTCCTCTCTGCCTCATGTCTTCAACCATTTCGAGTTGGTTGTTAAGGAACTGAAATGCTCCCTTTGCTGGCGAAGCACCATCAAAATGCCTCAGCACGTTTCCTCTGCTGGCTGCTGGGGCTATTTTAGTATGGGTCTCTCTGAATGAAAAACTCCCACTCTCAGTTTATTCTTAAGTCTTGTAGGAAGAAAGAAAAGCTGGGTTTCCAGCAGCCTCTCTCAAAGGGAACACTGGTAAAAACCTGGGGCAGGCCATTCTGGCTCTGTTTGCTACACCATGTAGTCTGGGSCCAATTGAGGTGCTCACATAATCAAATTAATTTGTAAAAAATGCTATGAGAACAAAATACAGTATGTGGATTAAATAAGTTGGAAAAAGCTAACTCAGGCACCTCTTGCTCTAGATCAGAGGAATTCTGGGATTGTAAAACTACTCATCAGAAATGCTGAACTTGCCAGCTTTTTTTTCAGGTGTGGGGCAAAGAAAAAGCAGGAGTGCTACGGAGGTAAAGATCAATAAAATGTTATCAGAGGCAGGAAGGAATTTCACATGCACGTCGGATACCTTGGCTCTCAGCAGAGATTTAGCAATGGCTTGCGAAATGCTGATTAAAACCAGCTCTTGGCAAACAGACCTCGCCTGAAATGGGCAATATTTGAAGGCAGCTCAGAAGGGTAAAAGCAAGGACTCCACACATGACCTGCTGCTTCTGCCTGGTGGTTCCCTGCAAAGGGACAGTAAGAACAATCCCTGGCTTTAAATCCAGTGCATATTTGCCAGTGTGATGTTTTAATTTAGGTATTACAATGCCAGAGAACTGTAAATTACAACCCCAGAGCACTGAAACCTTCCATCTTTGCCCAGTTTCATGGCCTTTTGTTGCTTCTTCCTGGAATGAAGCTGGCTTTTCCCATTAACAACCTTCACTGCTGTTTCTGTTTTGCAGACAAAGAAGTATGCAGATGTGATCATCCCCCGAGGAGTTGACAATATGGGTAAAAAGRAGTTGGGTTCCCTGATTTCCCTGGGGAGACACCCTTGGGGTTGGGAAGAGAGCAAGAGGCACTTGGCCTTGAGTACCTGATTCTGAGGAAGGGAGTTTTGCTGGAGGGGAGGGAGCTGATCAGGAGGACCAGCTGCTCAGCCTGTGGAGGGCTGGAAAAATGACCTGGTGAGATCTGACCTTGCTGCAGAACAGCAGGCAGAGTTTAATTTAAGGACTTTTTAAAACTCAAGCAGAGCTACATGCTCCACACTTTCTATACAACACTCAGCCAGAAAAACCCTCATATTTTACATTTCCATTCCTCTCTGCAGTTGCCATAAACCTCATCGTGCAGCACATTCAGGACATCCTGAACGGGGACATCTGCAAGTGGCAGCGSGGGGCGATGAACGGGCACGGCCGGACGTACAAGCGGCCGTTCCCCGAGCAGGCGGAGAGCGGCAGCGTCCTGGCRGCTGGGAAACGCTCCCATCTGGAGTCCAGCAGCCGCCCACATTAACCTGCCCTGTCCCAAGGCTCTGCCTCTGGTCCACACCAACACTGAAGACACCTTTGGGAAAGGACTTCTTCCACRGAATGGTTGGTGAAGTGCCCTCTGAGCGTCCTAGCAGCGGAGGGGATCCTGRTGGGAATCTTCTCACAGAGGGAGAGGAAGGAGTCAGCCATCCATCCTTCTTCCCTCCAAACCCCTCTCTATTCTYCCTAAGATGTCTGGAGTTGTTACTTGATGAACTGGTTAGAGGCACTGCTACTTGCCTTTTTTTTTGATTTTCAAAATGAGATCTAATGCTGAAGACTCCCCTGAAAATTACGCACTACCAGATGATTAGCAAGATACCGCATTTCCGTGATGATGGTCATCTGGAGCAGGAAAATCATCTGCCTCTTGGGGTTTTTTCTCTATCCAAGACTAGCTCACATGGTGTTAATTTTAACAAGCAGGTACAGCTTTTTTTTTCTACCTTGTTGCACCTTGAGTTCTGGCCAGGCTCTGCTGCTGGTCAGCCTCCTTTTAGCCTGTGGGGCCAGAGGGACTGACCTGTAGATAGAGATGAGACAGAGATTGTCTGGGACAGATGGGAACCTGTAGTTCACCAGGGAACAGGCCCAAGAAGTTTAGTGGTTCTAATTCCTAATTTATTCTTTTCTAAGCTCCTGAATCTTGCTACACTGTTATGATTTTTTTTTTTTTTTTGGACCCAGGTAGTGTGCTTTACCACATTTACTGAATGTGTGAGCTCCAACTGGATTGAGTTGCTCATGGAAACAGAAACCTGACCTTGTCAGTATTAATGTCTTTTAGTGCATTTCTGTACTGCTGGTTGCAAATTCTGCTGGGCAGAATCCGTCCGCTTCCAGAGAAGGCTGGTCAGGTCAGCAAGGGGGGAAATGGGAATTGCAGGACCCTCCTGCTGCTAACACAAGCAGCTGCCTGGACATGTTCTACCCTCAGACAGGGTGAGAGCGCTTGCCTTGCACTCCAGCAGCTTCAACTCAAGAATGTCTGGCTTTCTAAAAAAAGCAGACAAGAAGTACAAACAGTGACATCCCAGTTTCTGTAGTTTACCCCAGATAAGTGATACTGCAGCAGCATGAAGTGTCTGTCTGGAAAAAAAAATCTGCAATGAAGTGCTGGTTGGACCTTTGAAAATGTCCTTGTGATACTGTTCTTGAGTTTGGACTTCAGTGTAATTTTAAGAATGAGGGTGGGAGGGAAATGTTATTAAGAGGAACTTTTTCATATTTGCTAATTTTCTAAAAGCAGGGTCTGGCTGTGTTGGTTGTGGGTGTGTTACTTTGGTTAATAAACAAATGAACAGTAATCAGAAATGACCATTTTTATAAAAGGTAATTTTGGTACTTGCACTGTGCCAGCACAAAGGCACAGAAAGAAACACTGCTGGAGGGGCTCTTATACTCAACAATTCTTTATCCCTTYAACTCAGAATTGTTACCTTTGGTTCTGTTGTGTCTGAAAATTTAGAGAAAAAAACCTGAACTTGAGATATGCAGTCTGCTTTTTCCTCCCTGTAGTTTTTTTCAGCACTGGAAATGGTGAAGGTTTGGTGTCTCAGAGATAGTTCAGTGGAACTTCTGCAATGCCCAGGAGAACACAGATAATTTCCTGACTGCTGCTGGGTGCTGGTTAGCTCAGGGTGACAGAGTTAGAGTATGAGCTACTGCACTGAAGCATTAGCTCTCAGGGMTGATTAGGAGCAAAATAGTCACTAAAACCTACTTTGAATGACTGTGGTGTTGGATCATACCTTCCTCTGGGGGTGGGGGGAGCCTTGAATAGAATTTGTTAGAGCAGTGAGGAACTGCACAGCCAAGAGGCCCAGGGGTGTGGCAGTGCTGCTCTGGCAGCTCTGTGCTGCCCTGCAGGACCTGCTGCTGCAGCCATGTGCAGATATGGAATGGGCTCAGGTACCACAGCCCTGCTTGGACACCTGCACAGAGCCATTTCAAATTCCCCACTGAGCAATCCCAGTCCTTCACCTTTGCCTTGTCCTTCTCCGAATTCTCTGCTGGTGCAGGGCAGGCCATGGGCTGGGTTTCTCTGTTTTCACCTTGAACCATGTGCACAAGTTGGAGCAGGTTTCCTTGTCAGCAGGATCAGTCCTACCTTGCCCRGAGTCCCTTTTCCCATGGGATCTGAGGTGTAATAAATGGCAATACTGCCACTGCTGGTAAGAGGCCTCAGGCTTCACATCAGTGCCACAAGGCCAAAGGATTTGTGGCTTTGGCTAAATTCCTGGCTTGCCTCTAGCCTTGTTTAGCTGGAACAGCAATTTTTAATGTCTTTTTATTTTGCTTATCTTCTTGAAAGTGATGCTTATGTCAGATGATTATAAATAGATAATAGTAACRAGTCATTATTCTATGCAGAATGAACTATTTATAAATGTAGCTTAATGCTGTATTTACATAAATAGAAATGATAGCAGAGCATTGGAAGTTGGGGGTAAATAATGCATTGTTGAGGAATAGAGTAATGGAATGATAGTGTAAGGCTGCAGGGCCAGTTACTGATTGTTAAAGACAGGCAAACTTTAGAGCTGGGAAAACCTGGAGTTTAGGCAAAGCAAAGAAAACAGAAGAAAGTATGAGATGTGTTGGAAAGAGTCCATTTGTAGTAACTCGTATCATGGGATTGCAGGCCAAGGTGATAGGAAACACATGAAATAGCCCTAAGTGCAGTGGAGWGCCAGAAGGAAGAAAACCACCATCMTATGCTCAGGAAAGAGAAGAAATTGTTGCAGCTCTTCCCAGCRAAGGAGCCTGGGATGCTGTGACTGAAGTCAGTGACCTTCACACMCTGAGGGGCAGTGAATGGTGAATGTAAGAGAGGCAGAAACCAGGAACTGTTTTCATAACAGCTGTATTACTGTTGAGAYCTTTTCTATAACAGTGTTCTTTTATTTCCTTTTCCTGTAATCATTAGATCTGGACTACTACCAAATATCTGATCCGACTGTTAAGATATCCATGATTACTAACAATAAATTCTTGGCTTTGCACAAAAGGTGTTTCTTTTGGCTGTAACAAGGCTGGAGTGGTCACTGCTTTCGGATAAGGATGTTCCAGGTGTCCTTCCAGCGCAAGGCCTTGAGTTCTGTGAGGGACAGCGCGGGCTGCCCGTAGCTCACGGGGCTGAAGGTGCAGTACACAAAGTACACAGAGGAGAACCAGGCTACGATCAGTGCACTGAACATGCTCTTGAGCAGCACAGATCTGGGATGAGGGAGGGAAAGAGCACTCAAGTTAGATCAAGACTGGTCAAACACTTCATCCAAAAGATCTGCACCTGGCCTGCCTTCCCTAAAGGCAAGTGACAGAGTATGGCCACTGCTTTCCCTGCAGCAGCTTGCCCAGGTGACAGCCCTGCAGAAAGAATTTCTGTRTCACTTCTGTTCAAGAAAGAGAACTGTTCTGCTAAAGCCAAATACCTGCAGAGATGATCACTGAGATGCTGCAGTACCACAGGAATCAGGAGAATCTGGAATGTGAGAGCAGGCAGGTAGTGGTACAGGAAAAGTGTTTTCTCCATCAGGAAGAAGGGCAGGTAGTTCACAGCCCAGCCTCCACCACAGATGCCTCCCGCTGACACCCAGAGCTGCCAGGCATCTGCAGGAGACAGGAGATGGCATCTCAGAGCAGAACAAGCCACAAGCCTCCACCTGGACACACACACTCAGTRCAGTCAGACCTTCAGGGATGTCATAAATCTTCCTCCTTCGTCGTAGCAAGTACCACAGGGACAGACACAGGTAGACCAGAGCAGCAGCATTAGCTGAAGCCCAAATGGCAACATTCCCAAGGAGGTGGATCTGGGCCTGCAAGGCAGATGGTGGTCTAAGCCAGAAGCAGGAACATGCTSTGGTTCCTTTTGGTAAGTTTAAATATTACCTACATAAACTTGCTAAATTAAGCTCCAGAATGTGCCTGCCTAGGAACAAAGCTGGCTGATAAACTTTGCTGCTTTAAGACTCTTGTGTAATGGAAGGCATTTAAAAGATGCTATTGGAGATGAACTCATCTTCTAAATGAAATCAATAATGGAAACTATTAAACTGCAATTTACCTTAAAAAAAAAAAAGGTGCAAGCAGACATGATTTAATTAAAAGCAACTACTGTCAAAGCTGTATCTCATGCTAAAATAAATATCTCAGCCCTCACGGACAATGTAATAATGGCTGGAAGCTGCAGCCCTGCTCTGACTCTCACTTCTGGAGCTCACATCTGAGCTGTTCTGCTTTCTCAACAGCTTCACAGTTACTTCTWCCTCTTGTACTTACCCCTGAGGTTGGGTGGAGCCAGTAGGCAATATTGGTGTCCATTGTGATCCAGTCCAGGGCAGAGGAGCTGTACTTATGTTCTGTGTCTTCATTTTTTAATGTGAGTATTTTCCACTAGAAAAAAGAAGGTGAACAGGCGTCTTTCAGAATTGGAAGAACAGGTGGGATAGCAGGTATGGGTGAACAGCTTGAGATGTGAGATGTTAAATTCCTAACCTGAGAGCAGAGAAATATTTTGCATGTATCATATGGATACTGATCAATACAGTGGTTTTATTTTGCTATTAAATAATGCACTTAATAAATTTCTACGAAGATAGTAAGGGGCACCAGCACTATTGACTGCATGTACCACACATTACAGTTCCATTTCAGGCAACTTCTGGGTGCCCAACCAATTTTCCTCCCCCTTTTTTGTTACACAATCACTTGGGTATTCATTACTGGACAGCCCAGGTCTTTGATGCCCTTATAAGTACATTCAGAAACATTTTTTTATAGTGRGGAAGCCAAACTATCAGCAAGGATTAAACAATGAATTCTCAGGCTCAGAGTCTGGAGAAATGCTCAKGTTCCTGCTCTGCAGCAAAAGGAGAGGTGAGGGGAATAACAAGACATTCACCTGCAACTCTGTGAACTTTGCCATGAAACTGAGGTTTTTACTGATGTCCATCTGTGTGGGAGAATGGAGTTCCASTTCTCTCTCTTTTTGCTCTTGGCCTGGAAGAAAATAGCACAGCTCAGAAATAACCACATAAAAGGCAGAAAGYTCAAAAGGGGAGAGAGCACACAGGATATACCCCGGCTCCTCACTCTCCAAGGATTCCTTCTCCAACACATCATCAAATTGCAACAGAACTTAAAGGGACTTTGTAAGGATTCTGACATCATGAYAGAGCCAACTGAACACAGAGTACCACCTTCCAATCAACGTGAGGAATCCCCCATTTCAAGAACACAGCTGAGACATACTTTTCCCATATCTGTGCTCTTCCACATTCCACACCATGCTCTGGTGGAAWCCTTTGGACAGCTTCTCTCCAACCACCTCCAGCTGCCGGTATCCCCACTCGGGTAGAGATGCTCCACTGAGCTGAAAGAGAAGATGACTGTAAACTAAAAATCCTGCCAATTTGAACTTCAGGATGGAAGAAGTTCCCAGGCACTGCCTGAGCAGTGGATGACTGCAAGGGACTGCTGGACAGTGTGTGAAGRGCATGCAAAACTGTCTCAACGAATGGCTACAGTCATAAAATCAGTGATTCTAGCAAACTCTGAGGAAAAAAATCCTTAACTATTCCAGCTCCTGTCACAGACACATAGACTCAGCATCAGTTTCTAAGCCCTAGTTGTGTACAGCAGTCACAACCTCCTGAGAAGCAGCACAGCTTTGATGCTGAAAAGGGTTGGAATATGACTACTTAGAACACATGCTGCTCTTCTGTCACACTGAGCAAGTTTATTGTTTCCTTTTATTTACTCATTTGGTTGKTTGTTGTTATGGTTTAGGTATTTTGGAGTAGAGTTTGTGAGATTACAAGAACKGCATGAAGCAAAAGCTACAGGCAAATAAACAGAACCCCACTTGCCTTCAGCACTGCAGAGGTGTTCACGTGAACAAACCTCACTTCTGACAGAATTGTCTTCCACACATCCGTGTCAGACTCCCGATTTACAATTTCCTACAACAGAAATGGCTTTTGATTCATGTTGTCTCAGCTGTTTCTGCTGGAACACGATGAGCTCTTCCCCTCCCTCCAACCACTCACCACCCTCCAGAGGTTCTGTGCTGGCATAGAGATGT